TGTATCAGGGTTGTGTACCTTCTCATCTGATTTTGATGAAACGCATGTTTATAACCCAAAGATCATGGTTCCTTTCGATACTTGCGCATATCGGATCGTAACTTCCTGAATTCTGGCCCCTGATTGTACGAAAAATCGCGTGTTTAGCTTGTGGTCCCTCTAGAGATCACAATTATTATCCGATTTCAAATTCCATTTGATTATATCACCGTTACACCGTAATGATGGTTGAGTTCGAATTTCGTGAAAATCGGACCAAAACTGCCGGACAAAAAGGCCGCCCCTTGTACGCAAATAGTGTAAAAAAAATATGGTATATCAATGTTGTGGACCCTCCAGAAGTCACAGTTTTGATCCGATTTTGATGAAACTTGAAATATATCTTTATAACCCAAAGATTATAGTCCCTGTCAATATTCGCACATATCGGATCGTAACTTCCTGAATTATGGTCCTTGATTGCACGAAAAATCGCTTTTTGTTTTAGCTTGTTCTCTATCTATCTCTTGCAAAATGTGGGCGTATCCTGCCTGGCAGCCGCTGGTTAACTATTATAACGAGAACTGTCAACTCTTTATCTAATCTAATCTCCCATAATGCCCTTTTTAACTATTTTATTGACGAATCATCAATACTTGCCCTGCGTCAGGGCTATGGTGTTACCATTTCCAAAGGTTCCTCGTATGCTTCGGGTCTTCCATTTTGTCCTATCCCTGTCTGCAGCCAAAACCAATGCAATGATCATAGCGGGAACGACTTCATCATTCACTGCGAAACTTTAAAACGTTCACTGTGATGACCGCATATGAAATTGTCCTATTATTTTTCAATACTATTGATATCGTGTATGACTCTTAATAATTGCGTGCATGCTATTCGATTCTTATATAATTTTTAAAATTCAACCCTGTACAGAATACCGTGTCTCTTACGATGACCGTCCGCACAATGAAAATGTCCTACGGAGATTGATAATATACAGCTTTAATAACATGCAAATATATATTTTTCAGTAGGCCTATTTATCAAAGCCGTTTGCTCTATTTTTTAATATTATTTTATATGCTTAGTTTTGTTCGAATAATTAAAGAAACTTGACGAAAGGGCGAAACTTAGCATTCAAGATTACATTAGCTTTTTTCAGAAAGTATTCTAAAAAATCTTTTCAAATTTAAACACTGTCTGTTTTGACAGGTCGTTTTCACGAAAAGGGCTCTATCTGACCTTTGATCCCCGACCTATAGTAGGTTTTGTTTTGTAATGTAGGATGAACATTTCTTGGTGTACTCGGTGTCTGCTCAAAATAATTATTTCATTACCTGCATATCATAGGCTGATGATGTACATGTAGACATGTACCGATGTACCGATACGGTAAAAGTACTTGATAAACGATATTGGTGCAAAAAGAATTATCAATTGCTGTTTGAACTAGCTTCTTTTTATTTTAAACCCTCTTTTTATGCGACTGTAATATTGCTAGGGATATTTGGTCTGCATTCAAAAACGTTAGCGTTAAGACTATCTATTACAATTTAAACAACCCCTTTGATTCCTTATTTTTTATCAGATTTATATAATCAAAAGCTTTATTGGCCATTTGCAAGCCTCTTTTCCGTTTACTTGTTAGGCTACCGATAACCTACGGTCGTTGAGCCATTTTATTATGTCAATACCCCTTGAGTGGTTGTTATATTGATTAAATAATCCAATGATGTTGGTGGGGTTGGTTTTTTTACAATTTATAATTATATATAGTAACTCCCTTTCAATTCGTTGCTATGCGGAACAACATAAAATGGATTTTGTTGTGGCTATAGCCATGGATACACTATTGAAATTTCCGCTCACGTGAAAGAGAATTCTTCGATTATTTTATATTTTCATAATAGACGCACGAGATTCTAAATGTTCGGTAAACAACCCAAGGATATGGAAGGGGATCGACGCCACATTAAAAGACATGTAAACACGAGTAGAAGTTACTATGTCAGCATATGAAAGTGTTGTTTTGATGATTTTTCCATGTTCGATTTTACAAAATAGAAAAGTATTGTCCACTAACGAAAAAACACATGTACAAATGCGCCTTGTAACGTTTGTATTTTCTACATCTGATCTTTCAACTGTTGTAATTTCTACTAGTGCATAATCGACATATGTAACTTCGACATCGGTATTTTCTTCCAATGTAATTTCTCCACATGTCACATCCATCAAGGCGTGGTTCCGATTTTAGCCGAAGCTTGCGTCATAAAAACAAAACCTCCCTTCAAGTAGTCTCGGTCATCCAGACAATATGGCTCCTCCGCGATAGCTCCCTCGACTAACGGGCTTGGATGACCGAGGCTACCCTTCGAGGAAAGTCATTCCTACTACCAGAAAGTTGCATGGGGAGCATCAATAATTTTTAACGGAAGTTAACACTAACATATTGTTTTATGCTAAATTTTAATACAACTTTTAATAGTTTGCTTTCTTTGTTATTTTTATGTGTCTTGAATTCACCATTTCTGGTGTTCATGTCGTTAACATAATTTTGAATGCATAGTTATAGGTTCTTTATTCGAAACTATAACTATGCATTCAAAATTATGTTAACGACATGAACACCAGAAATGGTGAATTCAAGACACATAAAAATAACAAAGAAAGCAAACTATTAAAAGTTGTATTAAAATTTAGCATAAAACAATATAATTTTGAATGCATAGCCTCGGTCATCCAAGCCCGTTAAAAATTATTGATGCTCCCCATGCAACTTTCTGGTAGTAGGAATGACTTTCCTCGAAGGGTAGCCTCGGTCATCCAAGCCCGTTAGTCGAGGGAGCTATCGCGGAGGAGCCATATTGTCTGGATGACCGAGACTACTTGAAGGGAGGTTTTGTTTTTATGACGCAAGCTTCGGCTAAAATCGGAACCACGCCTTGATGGATGTGACATGTGGAGAAATTACATTGGAAGAAAATACCGATGTCGAAGTTACATATGTCGATTATGCACTAGTAGAAATTACAACAGTTGAAAGATCAGATGTAGAAAATACAAACGTTACAAGGCGCATTTGTACATGTGTTTTTTCGTTAGTGGACAATACTTTTCTATTTTGTAAAATCGAACATGGAAAAATCATCAAAACAACACTTTGACATAGTAACTTCTACTCGTGTTTACATGTCTTTTAATGTGGCGTCGATCCCCTTCCATACAAGGAAGGACAATAAATTATTATTGTACACATTGTCAGGTTATAGCACGTTGAGATTTGCCGCTTTGTCTTTGGTCGTAAATTTAAAACACCTTTAGTATGGCGATATAGGAAGCCGTCATCGGAATTTTCAAATTAATCGATTAATAATATATACCCTTTGAACCAGTAACTGGGCTACAAGCGCCACTCATCTTCTTGTTCTTGGGGACGACTCAATATTTTGAGCTGAAATTTTGAGACAAGGCAAATACACCACTCCTCTATATTTTGGCGCTTAAAGATACGTTATGTAAAATTTAGATAAAGAGGTAGCCATCCTTGCTATAATAGTTCAAAAATAGATAATGTAAAATGAATAATTTGAAAATTTCATTCAAATTACTCTATTGCGAGAAAAGATATTAGCCTTTAAAAGTTTGACAAGACGTATGCAATAATTTCAATCACCGTACTGGTTGTTCGAAGCTAAGTCTCGCTCCTCCATTTTTAACTTAAATTAAAATATGGCTGAACTGTTCTAATCTATATAATATCGGAGAAATCCGATGCCATCGAGAGTTGATTATGGTCTGGATAAGGTAATTAATGTCTAATAAATAATTTAGATAACATTTATTTCTGAGACTTTGTTAAAATCGGGATAGTCCCTTTAAGATTCATGACATCGACAATATTATTTTTGACCCAGATCAAAGATGTGAAGCCATTTTAATGTCTGGGGTATCTCCTTTAACCTTTCTGCTTAAAGGAGCTAAATCGCTAATATTTGGGATCTAGAAATTGACACAAATGGGTCGGAACGCATATAATAATGTAATATGAATGTTTTATAAACTGATTTACATTCAATCATTTCTGTTTTTACTGTAATTTCTAATCAGTTATGTTCGGCGAAATACGCCAGAAGTCTCAATTGAAGATGTTATTCCAGTCTAAACCGATGGTATTTATTGCGCATGCTCTCCAGATAAGAATATAGTCTAAACCGATGGTATTTATTGGGCATGCTCTCCAGATAAGAATATAGCGTCACCATTTGACATGACCCTGTGGAATATGTCTAGCCTCGTTCTTTGAGTCCCTTGTTCCAAATGGCACTGAAACGCATTATGGTACACGATTCGTGTACCAATGGTAAAATGTTTATTTTGTCTTGAATATTGGATATCAGAAGCCCATCTTTTCCCTGTAAGATCATAAGACCAATGTTGATTTGAATTGACAAATAATTCGTGTTTTCAATGTCGAAGATTTTTGATGATATTGAGTTAGAGACTTAGCTACTTTAATCATTTTTTATTGTGTAATATTCAGTCTTAAGAGACCCGATATTGATTAAAGTTCTCAAAAACATCTTACAAGTTAAAGAAATACCTTTATCCCCAGTAATAGGACTACATACAAATAATACCGTATTCAAAAATAAAACAGACTAATGTCGAAAACCCCAGCTCTTATCTGCAAACAGTAATAGATTTGTCACCATCTTAATGCGACTTGTATATTGACAGTTAAAATACATATATAAGTTTGTAGTATAATTTGAACGATGTACCTGAATAGTGAAATGAGTGGAAACCCCCCAAAATAGGTAGTCTTCCTTGCCTACAGTAAATAATTTTAATCAAAACGTAAGCCGAATAGAAAACTGAAATGTAAAAAGATAAATCAACCTTCAAGGATACAGGTAAAAAAAAACAAAAAAAAAAACATCTCGATTTGCATATTTGTCTGAAAATTATTGGTTTGGTTCGCCATTTTCTCCGAAGTAAATCCAAATATTGCTTACCTTTTACATGTATATAATTCCTAAAATGTAAGATACAGTTCCAACCGAACATCCACAAATGACAAAGCGCGCACTGTTGAATGTTTACATTGTTGTCAGGGCAGAAGTGGAGTGAAATCTATACGGCAATTTTATTCCCTACAGGTTTATATTGAAAATTCGTTAACATATTAATTTTGCATGAAATAACCTTAAAGGAAATTGTTCCATTTGTAGAATCAATATTGATTAAACGTAATTATATTATACCTGTAGAATATACCTGTTCACGTATCCACCATATATGTATATATTACTGCAGTTGGTTACATATGAGTTGCCTTTGTAGCTGCACATTCGCCTACTTAATAATTTTATTATTATCCGGGCGCGTGCAATATGTAAGTTATATAACACTTCTCAGAGTTGTCAATACTAGTGTTGTGCATTGCAAATTAAGTCAACGGTGTCATTGAATATAACTACATGTATGCCAACAATATCGACTAGGGATGCCTGACTGTGCCATCGCCTGCTTGGTCCATGTGCCAAACAGGCGATGGCACAGCCAGACGTTCTTAGTCGAAAGTGTTGTCATAGTTATATTCAATATTTAGTGTAACTTTACCTTCACCTGCAATTCCCCAAATATACTAAGCAGCAAAAGAAACGTCAGATTGGTATGTTACTCTGAATAGACGCATTGCATAAAACATGCCATTCATAGCAGACCACCCATGGCAGCACTTGTAAGGTCGCTACAAAGAACCCGACAGACTCTGCGACCAAAAGATCCCACTGACGTGTCGTCAAGCGTAAGTACTCATGCAATTAAATACCCATGTATATAAGAATTTATTAACATGTAATTAAATGTACAATTTTATTTATTTATTAACATGTAATTAAATGTGCTTTTTTATTTATTTTTTGTTTTAGCTTGACGAAGATTTCATCGATCATAGTGCACCGGGATTTTATCAAAAAAGAGTAAAAGTTGGGGAAAGGCGCCATCACATTTTTTGTACTGATAGACAGATGCAACTACTCGCACGCGCAAAAACTTGGTATATGGATGCAACTTTTCGGGTGGTGAACAAGCCATGGTCACAGCTGTTTTCCATCCACGCCTTCATTAAGACTGCAGGAGAGACCACCCGACAGTTACCATTGGTGTTTTGTGTAATGTCGGGTAAAAGCCAAGACGACTATTATAAGATAAATAGCACTTACTGATTGAATTACTATTAATAGTAAAAAAGGACTATTATTTGGGACCTTGAAATTGTCACAAATGGGTCGCACTAACAGCGACATTTGTTTCAGGCATATTTGTTTCATCGGTGACACGTCTGGTGTCATGTGAATGCAACGACAACAGCCTGGTTGATTGATTTGTTGATTGGAGTTCAGATGTCTACATTAAAATCGACCACTTTCAGGTTGCCGTATTCACGGCCAGGCAAGACCGACTTGAAATTTCTAGAAATTTTTCTGGGGGAGACAGGCCCCAACAACTCCCCAGACGGTGCGTTTCACGACTTTGGCGCAAGACGGTGACCTTGAAGAGACGTGGAAAACCATTTAATAGACATAGTAAAAGTCATATCTTACGAGATTATCGCTGGTCTTGTCAGAAAATGCTATTTTATATATGACCAGTTTGTGTTTGAAAAATTTAAAAAGAAATTATTTATTCTCCCACCATTAAAGCACACTAATTACGAAATATCGCTCTCAGAAACTTCATGGTTTCTTTTGCAATTTGTTTGGGGTAAGACGTTATATAAATAATATCAATCTGTCTACCACAAAAATTTAACAGATACAAATGCATGTTATTCCACAGGTAGACAGACAGGGCCTCCTTTGAAGGGACTCAGTGAAGGGAACGCGGTTGGTTTAGAGTTTGTCTGACCCCTTTGAATATTTGCGTCTCATCTCCAATGAAAACAATCATGTTGCTCTCATGCTGTTTTCAACCAGAATCAAACATATATCGTACCCGAGATTTGTTAGCATGTTCCACACAACCCAACATTTATCGGCACCGGGATTAAGGGTGTATATCTTTGTTTCTAACGCTTATTGGGAATACGCCACGGAAACTACAATAAAAACTTATTTACAAAAACATTCTAAAGAGTGAAAACTGACATATTTCAAGCTTTACTGTATTTAAAGAAATAATTTAAATCAGCCGGCTGAAACCCCGTCTCCGCTATTTGTTCAGTCATTCTTTAAGTATAGTGCCAGTTTCCACCGACAATGATATTGCAAACAAGTGTCCAATCTATAAAAGCATACATTCCTACAAAATGTTTCTTTAGTCAAGTGAAACAATAAATTCATAACTATGCGAGGGTGTGGTGAGTAAATTCGTGGTAACAAGTCTGAAAAGGCTAATGTGACATAGAACAAGGTCACCTTGATGTTGACAAATACGTAAGACGATATGAACATCAACTAAAAAGATATGTAATGTGATTCAGCTACAAGGTGATATATGCATATTAGCAGCATAGATAATTAAAACTTCTATTCAAGTTAAACCAACTGTAACTATTTATTTAAGTCTTACGTCGAGCTGAATACATTTTATGATTTATTGTCATCTATTGGTGGTTAACAGTGTAACTAAAAAGTAAAATTGGATCTTATTATTGCCAATGATACAATGTACATGTAATAGCAAGTGTATTTATATTTTTTGTTCAGTCTGTACACAGTAACATATCTGAGAACCATATTATTATCATTTCTGCCCAAGGCTCCCTGTGCCTTATAGTTAGCAGTGATACAAGGCAATTACCAATTTTCCATGTTCTTGGCCTGAAGAAATAAAATAATAAAAGTCAAGTTTTTATTATGCAAGTGGAAAAATACAATTATTCATAGTATGATTTGAATAAATACAACTGATTTGAAGTTGGAATTATTATTTGTCTAAGATGACTGGGCATTTACAAATTGAAATAGCTACTCTTCATCAAGAAAATACATGAATATTTTTCCCAATTCACCTGGAATTTATTGTAGGTCTTTGTACGTGAAATAGCTTTATTTAACGTCCGCTACCGCCGAAGTGATATTGCAGAAAATTAACAAATTCGGATTCCCTTTTAAAGGAAATTGACTGCACTGTCGCTGGATTGTATTATATAGGTCATGTCAGTTTTTTTCAAAATGGCGCCCAGAACACAAAACAAACATTGCAATTCAAGGCGGACTGGTGTCGAGGCTGTATCCTAAGAATGATTTTTTGAATATTTAATCACACAGAAACACAAGTATGCACATGCAGTTATGATATAATATTAAATTAGCTTACCTCAAATACCTCGAAATATACTGTTTGGTCAGTTTGTCCGCCCGTCATATTTCTGTTAGTCACACATCCTTCGGCCAATTAAAATGGACGTATATTTTGTTTTAACCGAAACGAAAAATTTGCGTTATAAATAGTAAACGAGCTTGATTGACCGACCACTGCTAATGATTTTTCGTGAAACGGTATAACTGCAATCAACACACGGCCGCCATTCTCGATGATTGACAACTCACGTTTTTCCTCATCCACCAAAGAACCGTTAGGTTTCTTTGAACATACTGTAATAACATTGGGATTATCAGTTAATCAGCTTTAATTATCCCGCTTTGTTCGTTGCCATTTCTTATATTTTCCACAAAAAAACTTTGCCTTGTACGCACTAATTTATCAATTGGTATTGCCATCTACGACAAGCATGTCAACGTGCAGCTCACGGATTATCGTTAACAATTTCTAGGGGCTTGTAAAAAAGGCAGTGGCTATTTGCCACATGTGGTAAGCAAGAATGTCAAAATAGCCCTGCGGCTACAGACCACAATTATTAACCGATTTCAATGAAACTTACAGATTATAATAACATTAATAATATCTCAAAATAGCCAAACTTTCGGCCACTTCCGGTTAGCGGTTTCCGAGATATCAGGTTACCACACATTTTATGTGGCACGGCTACAGACCACAATTATCAACCGATTTCAATGAAACGTACAGCTTATAATAACATTAATGATATCTCAAACTAGCCAAAATTTCGGCCACTTCCGGTTAGCGGTTTCCGAGATATCAGGTTACCACACATTTCATGTGGCACGGCTACAGACCACAATTATCAACTGATTTTAATGAAACTTACAGATTATTATAACATTAGTAATATCTCAAACTAGCCAAAATTTCGGCCACTTCCGGTTAGCGGTTTCGGAGATATCAGGCTACCACACAATTCATGTGGCACGGCTACAGACCACAATTATCAACCGATTTCAATGAAACTTACAGATTATAATAACATTAATAATATCTCAGCATAGCCAAAATTTCGGCCACTTCCGGTTAGCGGTTTCGGAGATATCAGGTTACCACACAATTCATGTGGCACGGCTACAGACCACAATTATCAACCGATTTCAATGAAACTTACAGATTATAATAACATTATTAATATCTCAAAATAGCCAAAATTTCGGCCACTTCCGGTTAGCGGTTTCCGAGATATCAGGTTACCACACATTTCATGTGGCACGGCTACAGACCCCAATTATCAACCGATTTCAATGAAACTTGCAGATTATAATAACATTAATAATATCTCAAACTAGCCAAAATTTCGGCCACTTCCGGTTAGCGGTTTCGGAGATATCAGGTTACCACACAATTCATGTGGCACGGCTACAGACCACAATTATCAACCGATTTCAATGAAACTTACAGATTATAATAAGAGTCTTAATATCTCAAACTAGCCAAAATTTCGGCCACTTCCGGTTAGCGGTTTCCGAGATATCAGGTTACCACATATTTCATGTGGCACGGCTACAGACCACAATTATCAACCGAGTTCAATGAAACTTACAGATTATAATAACATTAATAATATCTCAAACTAGCCAAAATTTCGGCCCCTTCCGGTTAGCGGTTTCTGAGATATCAGGTTACCACACATTTCATGTGGCACGGCTACAGACCACAATTATCAACCGATTTCAATAAAACTTAAAGATTATAATAACATTAATAATATCTCAAACTAGCCAAAATTTCGGCCACTTCCGGTTAGCGGTTTTCGACATATCAGCA